GAGCGAAACAGGCGAGGAACTCCATCTTCACAAAATAAGATAAGCCGGCACGGGTGCTCACACCTGTAATCCCCAGCACTTTGGGAGGGCCAAGACGGGCTGGATCACAGAGGTCAGGAGTTTCAAGACCAGCCTGGACCACATGGTGAAGAACCCGTCTCTACTAAAAAATACAAAATTAGCTGGGCGGCGGGTGGGTGGGCGCCTATAGGTCCCAGCTACATCGGGAGGCTGAGGGCAGGAGCAAATGGCATGAAACCTGGGAGGCAGAGGTTGCAGTGAGGCCAAGATCATGCCATTTGCACTCAGCCTGGCGACTGGGAGAGTGAGATGAGATGATGAGATGAGATGAGGACGAGGAGATGAGATAGAGAGATGAAGATGAGATGAGATTGAATGATGAGATGAGAATGAGATGAGATGAGATGACGAAGGTGAGTGAGGTGAGGTGAGGTGAGGTTGAGATGAGATGAGATGACGATGATAGAATGAGATGGATGAGATGAAGATGAGATGAATGAGATGAGATGAGATGAGATGATGAGGTGAGTGGAGGTGAGATGAGATGAGATGATGAGATGAGATGAGATGAGAATTTGAGATGGAAGAGTGAGGTGAGGTGAGGATGAGATGAGATGATGAGATGAGATGATGAGATGAGATGAGATGATGAGGTGAGATGATGGATGAGATGATGAGGATGAGATGAGATGAGATGGATGAGATGAGATGATGAGGGGTGAGATGGATGAGATGAGATGAGATGATGAGATGAGATGATGAGTTGAGATGAGATGATGGAGATGAGATGATGGAGATGAGATGATGATTGAGATGATGAGTGAGATGAGGATGAGATGATGAGGATGGAAGATGATGAGATGAGATGAGATGAGATGATGAGATGAGATGGATTGAATGAATGATGAGATGAGATGAGATGAGATGAAGATGATGAGATGAAGATGATGAGTGGAGATGAATGAGTGAGATGAGATGAGATGATTGAGATGAAATGAGATGAGATGATGAGATGAGATGATGAGATGAGATGGATGAGATGAGATGGAGATGGAGGATGGACGATGATGAGGTGAGATGGAGGATGGATGAGAATTGAGAATGGAAGATTGAGATGATGAGATGAGATGGATTGAGATGAGATGATTGAGATGAGATGAGATGATGAGAATGAGATGATGAGATTGAGATGAGATGATGAGAATGAGATGATGAGAATGAGATGATGAGATGAGATGGATGAGATTGAGGATGAGATGAGGATGATGAGAATGAGATGATGAGATTTGAGATGAGATGGATGGATGAGATGAGATGTGAGATGAAGATGATGAGATGAAGATATGAGTGAGATGATGAATGAGATGAGATTGGAGATGATGAGATGATGAGTGATGATGGAGGATGAATGGGATGAGATGGGATTGTTCTTTTTCTCCTTCTTCCTTCCTTTCTTCATCTATATGTGAATATATGTATACATGTGTACGTATATGTGTATATATGTATCTGTTTAGTGGGCACAAGTCCCCGTCTCTTCCATGCTTACATGTTGCGGTGTGGAGCCTGGGCTTTTAGTGTGCCCATCACCTGAATAGTGACCTCAGTACCTAAGAGGCAGTTTTTCAGCCCTCATTACTCTGAGGCAAACCCCCACAGCAGGCTCTTTAGAGAGGACAGGAGGAGAGAGGGAGCTTGCAACACATGAGTTCTGTCCGCCTCCGTGTCCAGCTGTCCTTCTTGGCTCCATCTCACCTCCCTCCCTTACTAGTTCCTGCCTTTTCTCTAGCCTCTTCCCCCACCACCTGAATTCCCACCTTCTGGGGCCTCTGCCCCAGGATATGTGGACCCCCCCCCAACCCTTCCTGGGTTTGTCCTCTGGAGCTGAGCTCTGTGGGTGGGGGGACATATTATCGACTTTCCTCTTAGAAAACATTTAAACTCCTCTTCGGATAGAAATCCCTTCCCATCGAGCGGGGAAATCCCTTCCCATCCAGAGAACAATGATGCGTTCTGACTCGACCCGGGTTTCCCAGAGCTGCGTACCCTTTGGTGGCCGACCTCTTTGTCTTTGGTTCCCCCATCCCAAATGACTTCGTGTTCCATTTCACACATACGAAGCTCTCAGGTGCACCTGTGGGGTACGGCTGTGTTCTCAGCAGGGGGTTATGTATGCCCCTGCTCTGGACGCTTGCCCGGATCTTCACCGTCTTCACGAGCGTGGCTTTGCACGCCAGGTCTGAGGGCGAGCGGCTGCAGTTCATGCAAGCTCTGCAGGAGGTCTGGAGCGTCAACGGGAGAAGCGTGCTCACCGCCTTTGACCTTTCGGGGTTCCCACTTATGTGCGACCTTGGTGGTAGGTACCCCCCCAACCCCCAAAACCTCAGAGCTGTGTCTCCTGTTCTCTGTAGGGAGCGTGTAAGCAATGTCTTTTTTTTTTTTTTTTTTTTTTTTAGATGGAGTCTCGCTCTGTCACCCAGGCTGGAGTGCAGTGGGACAATCTCAGCTCACTGCAACCTCCGCTTCCCGGGTTCAAGCAATTCTCCCACCTCAGTCTCCAGAGTAGCTGGGACTACAGGTGCAAGCTGCCACACCCGGCTAATTTTTTGTATTTTTAGTAGAGACAGGGCTTCACCGTGTTGGCCTCGATCTCTTGACCTCGTGATCTGCCCGCATCGGCCTCCCAAAGTGCTGGGATGACAGGTGTGAGCCACCGCGCCCGGCCTAACAATGGCTTTTATTTTCTGCATTCTGATGCTTTGACATGTACGAGATTTCTGGTCTTGGGGGAATCGTTCCTCCCAGCACTGCGTACTTCCTAGAGTCAGCAAACATCTCCTCTGCAAGCACGCTTTTCTTTTATTTCTATTTTAATTTTTTTTAAAGATGTAATCTTGCTCTATTGC